TATTATTTTAATGTTATTAGACTGTTAAAAAATGATCTTTAAGATTCATAAAGTTCCTACCACCTAAGCTTCGATTATATAAGACCGTATTATTGCATGCAGTCCATTTATGTTATTATTACCCGTTAGTGTGTCCTTCCTCATTTTATAACTGCGGCTAATGATTGACAATCACGATTGACTTTTGAGAAATAGCAAGTTGTCAACTCTCAGGAATGACATTACGCCCAGTTCAAGGATATTTGCGTCTGCTAATTATAAAGGCAATGCTTTCCGACAAGCGTTCTCGATAAGCTCAGTCGAATTTATGGGTGTGGCAGGTAATAATATTCCACAGGCACGAAGTTCGCGAATTGTTGTTGTTGTGAACTGTTGTCACCACCACTTCAGTGACATCCCAGATCGATGCTTTTCAACTATGTCAATCATGTGATGTGCAACGTCAGCCACCAAGTGCTTTCAATCTTTCTTCCACTGTTCGTGTTCATACATTGCAGGTCCAGAGAGAAGTACAACTTCAAACTCAGTTTTGACATTATCCCACCAGGTCTTAATTTTTCCACTGTTTTTCCAGTACCGAGTAGAGGTCGTGTGGCTTTCAGTGTCACGGAAGGTACAGAATCTGATGGGCGTCTTAACATGCACTCAAGCCAATGGGAACGTTGATCTTCCAAGACAACTGAGGGTTTGAACCAAAACGCATTGCGTCGTTGACAAATGGAACATTAGTAACGCTGAAAAGAGGTCCCTTAGCAATCCCACAAGATTCGTGGTTGATGCCATATTCAAAGCAAATGTGCGAAACGTCATTTTAAGAACTTTCAAGATATCTGATAGCGAAATAAATGAAATGGTTGTTTGCCTCCACCCAGTCATACTGATTTGACTCATGATCGCCAGTTATCAGTTTTTGTTGACAATACTTTGGGTTGGAAAAAATGATTTGTGTACAGGAATGAAATTCTGCCACCGTTGATTCCACTGATTAAACTTAACCAATCATATCACTGGTCTACGGCGATACGCTGCAGCTGTTATTGTGGCATAAACCTGAAAGATGGAGGCATCGTAGGCCTCGATGGAAATGGAAATTTTCTCTTCCCTTATTTTCGAATGCTCTTGCTAGCTAATTCATTAACAAATGTTGAATGAAGCCCTTTAAGACCTAGATTGCAACACACGGCAGTCATTACAGGTAATCTCATAAGAGTATACTTGAGAGATAAACTTGATGACGTAAATGAGTGCACCACAAAGCCAAGTTATGGAAAAAAGGACACTAAATCCAGGGAATAACATATAAGAATAATCAGGAAAGCCATTAAGAACCAAGTTACATGATCGCTGTTAGATCTTTGAAATAAAAAATGATGAATTAGAGAACCGACGTTAATGAGGTAAATTTGCCTATATGTTAAAACGGGAAAGATTTTTTCGACACTTCAAAGAGTAACGGTTGATCTAATGACTGTTTAGTGGTCGATAAGTGTGTTGGCATTAAATGCAGTGGTCGGGGGTCGTGCATTTCCACCGCGGAATACTACAAGTGCGACTGCGAGAAAGGATTCGAAGGATTAGACTGTGAAGAAGGTTTGTTTCATAGACAGAACTCGCACCTGCTGTATTGGACGGTACGTTTTTAGACGTGGACGACTGTGTGGATGTCACGTGCAGTAATCACGGCACCTGCGTTGACAAAGTCGATTCCTACCTTTGCGATTGTGTGAAAGGCTACACGGGGCAGGACTGCGAGACAGGTGTGTTAATGGTAATTCTAAAATGAGACAAGCGAAGGGCACACACGAAACCATGATCTACCCTGAACGCTGACACTAGACAGGAACGTGATCCCGGTTGCAAACGGTAGAAATCAGGTTTATTTGGAGGATTTCTGACATGAGGAAGAAGCACAATTTGAGATGCGTTCCGGGGGGGAGAGCCGTTTCTTTCCCAGGTCAAAAGATTACAATTGCAAAACCTCGGTCATTTGATGAACAGCAACAGGAGAAGCTCTCCAGGCACGGTGTCTTGGCAAATCCATATGAAAGATAACTCAAAGGCAGACTGCGAACTGCCGCCGAATAGATCGATTATATCGAATAATTGACATTTTAGCGCGTTGGAACAAATACAATGGGTCTTGCCGTTTGGCGGCAGATTGGGACCATTGCAAACGCCCTTACCCATGATTGAAATGAATAGCGGTCTTTGAAAGATGAACAAATCGGTTTGAAGAACATGGTGTATAATAGCGAAGGTTTGAATTGTACATGCATTACTTTCTGCAAAGTATACGGTGTAAATTTAAATCACGATGATTGATGAAAGTAGAAACTATTTACTAACTATTGCTCTTGGTAACGGTTTGAAACCGGCATTCTTAAAGAGTTATGTCTCTTTTAGATATTAATGAATGCGCGGATAAAACCTGTAGCGGTCACGGTCAATGTATCGACGGTGTTGGATATTACTCGTGTACTTGCGATCCCCCGTTCACTGGTCAAGACTGCGAAAAAGGTGATACTTTTTCTCACTTTCTTATCGGCTGTCGAAATATCGATCGAATATTCGAAACCAGAAACAGTTTCACGATTTGAGCGAAGTAGCTCACCCTAAGAAAAATGTTAATTCATGTACAGCATAGTAGATGAGGATCAAAAGATTGAACAGCAGTAGCCGCCTTCATATTAGCTCAAGAGTTTTCTCATGCATCTGCTCATACATGTAATATCTGCTATGATTGGAATCATCACCTGTATGAGAGGAATCGTGAGTTACTGTGATGTCTAGTAATGTTTGAGAGGCCACTCAAAGCTTGAGCTTATCACCACATACGTTGCGATGAGTGAAATAAACATATGGGTTTGGCTTTAGACCACAGCGAAGCAGTTCGACTCATAACTGTCCCCGTTTTGCAACGGATCTTGCCTTGAGGAAGTGAATGCGTATAAATGGCGGATTTGGCTGCATCACCTTACATAGAATTCAGTTCGAAACGCCGTCGATGGATTCTTAATAATAACAGATAAATAATGGAAGTAATTTATTGAGGACATTTTGAAGCCTGAAGTGGTGTTCCATTCAAAGATGTCATAAACACAAAACTATTTATATAACTTTTGATATGTTTTAGAATGTCATCAGCTGGAAAGCGACACATTAAAACTTTACTTGCAACCGTTTGATATGAAATACTGCCTGCGTTTAGAGTTAAATTGAGCTTTGTTCAGAATTGTCTTTATATGGGTGGCGCTGATCCGGAGGGCCTATGGCCCTTCATTTTTCATTCGTCATAAACGACCGTTTGATATTTCCCGTCCATGTGCCACTGACATCTATTCCAGGGTCGCGATCGGTATAGATATTTGCGCAGATCAGGAAACGTTCGTTGAGGTTAAGGCAAGACATCGCTATTCTAGTGAGAGTACTTCTTTTTTTCCATTTAATGAGTGGTGTCCTTATGAGTCATAGCATTATGCAGAATATCGGAATCAGTTTCATAGTCGAGTTTCACTTTGGGAATCTATGCTTATTTCCGCGCTGTGTTTTACTTTCTGGTCTTTTCTTTTAGGCGCCAGCACTGTTCAACGCAATGGGATTTTTCTTGTACTCAATTTTCTTTTTTTCACAAGATTGTAGCCCGTTTCGCCGTTTCAAAGGAACCACGCGAGCAGGGTAGTTTATACAATTAACGTTACTTCTTTTCCACTGATTTTTGGTATTCTTCTGTGTGGTGCTGGATTTGAGTACAGTATTCAGGCCAACTGTAAATACAGTATGCCGTAACTTTTTGTTCGCATCACAGTATGTGGTAGATGATATAACTTTTATCATTGGGAGCAACACTGATTTGACTGTCTTGATAAGTTTGCCAAGCCTTCATTCAGAACGGCTACAGCCAGATCTTCGTGAATCATCTTTGATGAAAACCGTTTACGAAATTATTGTGGGCTGAAAAGGAACGCCATTTTGGGTTCCAGAAGCTCCTCGATAAACAAATATTTTTTTCAGGCTTGTACCTGAAATTACTTAGAACTCACATTGTTCATTTAGACTCTGCCTCGTGTTCATTATTGATCTTATTTATGTTAGATTCACTGGCTTTGCGTTGATTACAATGGACGATCATTAAACACTTTTCTTTCCATGGTAGCAAGTTTTCAACTGAACACGAAAGACTTGCTTCGGAAGTCAGGGACTCTGTTAGCAAGATCAAACTTAATATAGGTCACACAATTTTATACAACCACATGGGCAGTCATCTATATTGAAATCTATAATGTAATTCGCTTTTTGCATCATCATTAATTTCGTGAATGACTGAAACAGAACAGATGGCAATGCCAAAGCATATTTCGAGTTAGCATATGAAGTGCTTACGATATCATCATCACAAAGAACCACATAAACGAAAATTTTAGCCGTATGCGAAGGATTGCGGAACTCCTGTGGATGACCATAGGTTTGAAGTCATTTCAGAGGTTAAGTAATATATTCTGCATTTAATATGGAAGTGATTGAGTATTCACTTGTCCCTATGATCTTCCGAAGCAAGACAGCGACTTCGTAGTGCTTTATGTATCAGTGAGGTTTTATCGCCGATAGAGAACATTTTGAACAACAGATATGTAATCACCTCAAACCAAATTTTTTGGAGTTCATAGGGCACGATTACTGTATGACCGTTGGCGCAGGTTTCGATTATAAATTGGATCTGTGACGCTATATGTTTCTGTCTAGAAAAAGTTAAATTGATAAAGTTTGCCGAATGATTCGTTTATATACTAAATTTATATCAGACAAGTTATCTGCGACGAGTTGAATCTGAAGGTCAAAAATATGAGAACATCTATGGTTGCCTATAGTTTCACCTTCGTTTCAATGCGCACAAGTTCGCCCACCGTCGTCAAAAATAAATACAGCATTTGTTTTCTTTCGCCTTGCTGTTGGAGAAGAATTAACTCAAAACACTGTAAAATATTTGGATCCTTAGACGTCAGCGACTGCAACGGAGTCACTTGCAACAACCGAGGCATGTGTCAGAGAGTGGATGATACTTGGAAATGCGTCTGCCAACGGGGTTATAGCGGCAGTTACTGCGAAATAGGTAACTAACATCTTTTTGTATTAGCTTGCTGGTAATTTAATAATATATAGTTTATTTATGTTTTGAAGGGAAAATAAAAAAATTAACTTCGTACGACATCGACGAACTACGTACATTATTATTTTCCTGGTATTGATTTTATGTGATATAAATAATATCGTTATCGTTCAAATACCAGTGCACTTTAAGTCAATTAGGTGCATAAGCCCGCTCAGCAGATGTTGCTGTCGGTAAAAATACATAGTTAACTCACTTTCCTTCGGCGTGATAGTAAGTAAGAGATTGCCTTCGAAATTGAGGGTACGAGTTCAACTCCCACGGAATGCTGCCTTTACCACGAATTTCCTTAAATGAAGGAATTTAGTACAGGTTGCTTCAGACCAGAGTTATTCAGTCGATAGAGCGTAGAATCCGGATGGTCCTATGTTCGAGCCTTGGGTCATTCGATATTCTACCTTATGAGGTTGATATATAACTGAGAAAGAAATAAGAGAATACAGACTATGCTTGCCATATGCCTGCTATCGATTCTGCCTTGAAAGAAAATAAAGCACTCCTAGCTTATGACATAAAAATGAATATGCGTCTCTACCTACGGAGCTAACATTTCTCAACATAGCGGTATTGGAATTGAACCCCGTTGTTTAAGAAACACTGACATTCGAATGGCTGCAACGTTCCTTACATTCCTTCATGAAAGGTAACTATATATGTTCATACATGAACAAATAAAAACAGTGACTAGTGTGGATGATATCTGCAAGCAACTACCAAACAACAAATGACTC